AAAATGAATGGTTTCAAAACGAGCCTCTTCTCTATATAATTTTTAGTCTGTATGAGTAAGAGCTTTAATTGCTTTTCTCAAATTAAATCCTACTCTTTAATTGTTGTAGAATATTATAAACAAAATAATCATTGAGCCTATAACTTAGAACAAGTACAAATCAAAACCAAAACTGAACTTGAACTTAAGAAACTCTTAAGGTAAACTAAAATTTTTCCAATAACGAAAATAAAAATATTTTATAAAATAATAATTTTTTATTAATATATACTTAATTAATTATTTAAAAAAAAAATTCTACAATAAATAATGCGGAACACTTTGTATTTAAGTCAATTTTTTACATTTAATAGATCAGTGTTGTATGCATATGTGGAAAATAGAACAGCAGCAACATTATTTCAGAAAAACAAAAAAAAAAAATTCACAATAATAATAAAATAAAGTTTTTTGTAAAATATTCATATAAAATATAGGTTTACATACGTGCATCTATATAATAAATATTGTATATATATATATATATATATATATCTATATACAAATTGGTAAATGTACAAAAATAAAATTTTCTGTTACATTATTTAGAGTGTGTATTATGTTACGGTAAAAGTGCCTAAGCATTTAGTAATAATGAATATTTTTTGAATAACAAATAAGTGATAAAGAAATTGTAATTTTACTTAAAAAAAAAACAGAATTTGTCATGAGTTCATTATTGTAGCAGTACGAATTTTAAAAATTCAAAGTCACCTAACACATACCTACCTAAACACAAAAAAAAAACGGAAAATTTTTCTTTTAATTGAGTATTATTACTGTTCTTGAACACGTCACGTGATTTACGATTTGAAACCATTAACAATCGTGAACGCAAATGACACTGAATAGAAATCAGAAAAAAATCTTCGTAAAAATTTGGAATGACGTGATTTGAATCTCGCTATTCTACCATTCAAGTGAGAAGAAGTTGAATGACTATTATAATACTTGTACATATTGTAGTTTTTGAATGTGAATTGATGTTGTATCTCGTTTCCTTTAAAATGTACACAAAATTTGGTAACTATTTACATTATTTTTGAAGGTAATGAAAATTCCACCAACTTTTTTAGAAAAAATGCAAAATTCCAATTGACAAAATGAGTAATCTTATTGAAAAAAAAGAAATATCCATTAGAAAATCTTATAATTCTGAAGTGAATAAAAAGTGAGATGAAAAAGTGAGATACCCATTTAGGATTATGAGTGCTACATAATTCTGCTACATGGTATTTATGTAAAATAATTTGACGTAAGTTGAATTTGAATTCATTTGATTTTCAATTCAAATCGGAATAAAGCACTAACGAAAACCTACCATGTTTTCCAAAAATTTTAAGACTCTTTCATATTTTTTTTTTAATCAGAAATTTTCTAGGCTTAAACGCATATTGTACAGAAAGCATACTTATATTATTTCATTCTAGGTTACATATCGATATATATACATATATACCTTTACCGTAACTTACGAGCAACATACATATCTACAAATGTATATATATATACATAATATCCCTAATATTTAAAGAAAACCCATTTCATTGTGCAAATCATGTAAGTTTCTGTATTTTTATACAATATTTTTATAATTTCAATATCTACATATAAATATATATATATATTTATTTACTTACGTACATTCTATCTCATACAGAGTGCACGTACATTTAATATACACATTTATGTATACGTATATACAAATGTATACATAAATATTATATGAAAAAGATACACAAGTGAGCAAACATTTTACATGAAAACATTATAATAATAATAACAAAAAACAAAACAACAAGAAAAATACAAAAAAAATATAAAATAAAAACCTCTAGAAATTTTTCATGTTTTTGTTTTTTTTTTTCTTTTTTGTGTTTTTTGTTCATAATATTAAAGCGTATCTCTGCTTCTACACACAATTTGTTTTTGATTTTTTTTTTTTTTTTTGTGTAATATGGGCAAAAAGTATTCATCGACATTTTACATACAATAAATTTCATGAATAAAATATACAAACATACATACATATGTATATATAGCTTAAATATAAGTATAATATATATATATAGAGAGAGTGAGAGATATGAGTATGAAGTATTGTGTATATTTACTGTAAGTATATCTGAGTAAATGGATGAAAATGGAAACACAACGTATTGCCGTACATTTTTGTTGTTGTTGTTTTTTACTCCTGGTTTGCTTGTTTTTCGTTGTTTTTTTTCTTCTTTTATTTCGTTTTATTTCTGTTTTTTCTTTTGCTGATTTTTTTTTGGTTTTTATGTTGCTTTGCTGCTATCAGCCTGCTTCTTGCTTTTACTTGCCTGTCTATCTGTTTGTCAGTGTTTGTTTGTATGTTTGACTTTTTTTATACATTTTTATTATTATTGTTGTTGCTGTTGCTTATTTTTATTATGTTTTTGTTTTTCTGCTTTTTTGAAATTAGGGTTTGAGGTACACAATATCAAATATGGCGTCGGAAAATTTTTCTTAAGCAAAAAAAATTGAATATAAAATAAAAAATAAAATTATATTTTTTTTTATCTCCTGGCTTTTGTTTTTTTTGTTAATAATACTTTTTTTTTTAGTAGGCACCTTTTTAATATTAAGTTTTTGTTTTTTGGAATAAAAAATATTTCACAATTTCGAAATAAAATTTTCACAATTACATTTTTTCTCTTAGATTTTTTTTTTCTTTTTAGGAGAAATTCAGAAAAAATTCAAGTCTCTTCTTAAGTAGATACAAAAAAAAAAAAGAGAAAAAAAAATGAAGAATATCAAATTTTTCTAGATTCTTAAAAAAAGTAGAAGAAAATTTTTGAAATTTTTGAAAATTTTTTTATTTTCCTATTAAAAAACAATAAAATTTTTTTAGTTTTTTTGAATAAAAAATGATTAAAATTCCGAAAAAATAAAATCAAAGTAAGAAAAAAAAAAAAAAAATTACTTAAGTAAATTTTTTTTTTTCGTGTGGGTGTTTACCTATCAAAAAATATACACATAATTCTGTACTGTACGTGTACGTAAGTATGTAGGTGCCCACTTTATAAATGGTTTATGGGTAGTAGAAATGTAGTAGGTATAACACATTTTGTAACTAATATAGGAAAAATGTATAAAAAAAAACATAATAATAATAAGAAAAGGTAAAAATAAAAAAAAATTTTTTTATGAAATATCTTACACTTTACTAAATAAGGGATTTTATGAGAAATGAAAAAAAAATCTTAATGCAGATATAATATTTTCTGTTCAAAAAATTCTTCTAAAAAACAAAAACCTTAATATTCTTGTAAAAGTTTAAAAATTAAAATATTCAGGAGTGTTTTTTAAGAGAACAGGTTGTGATTTTCAATTTATTTACTATTTCCTTACTAGATACACAAATAGTTAATAAAAATCCATAATTTTTCAGAAACAAGTGTATGATTAGGTATAAACTTGTGAAAAATTAAGAGAATTTCGCACTTATTAAGTAAAAAATTTTAATTTGGTTTCAATGATTATTAAATGAAATTGTTGCTTATTTCTACTTACAAAGTCAAACAATTCTAATGTTTATATAATCTTTAGTTCATAACAGAATGGCTTACAAATGATATTGGTACGGTTCCAAGTGTTGAAGATTTTAAAAATGGAATAAGTATGTTTGATTACTGAATATTTGTGGGATTTAATGTAAATAAAATACGTTTGATTAGGATAATCCCAAGTATAAGGGTACAAGAGTTTCTACAATTTATACAATTTTTCTTGTATTACACTCTAAAATTTATGATTTTCTTAAGAATTTAATATAAATAAATAATAAATCCTGAACCCGTTTAACATTACATAATTATATTTGAAATAGTTTCATTATAAATACCTACATGTATTTGAGTTAGTATTCAGTACTCAATTAGTACCCAGTTTATTCTCAGTTAAATATAAAATTATAAATTATGAATTTTACTAATACAACATCATAGTTGCGAAATTAATAAGAATGTGCTTATAACACTAATAATTTAACCATTTGGTCTGCAATTGCATGAAGAAATTTCCATTAAAATAAAATTATAAATTATATTTAAAGAGCTACTAATTGTAGTTCTTAAATTTCATAATATAACTGAGATTAATATTTTCAATAATTTGTAATCTCTGTTATTAAGTAGGTATACTCAGTTAAATACCAACATACTGGTAAATTAAATTATAAATTAACTCTAAAACTCTGAATTTTACTTCTAATTGTAAATTCATAATTGAAATAAATAATTTATAAGTATATAAAAAAAATGAATTTCAATAATAGTTTCTTATTTAATTTAATCCTTAATTGCATCAATACCAGTTTAATAGCATAATTAATTACCAAATATAAATAAATAAATCTCAAATTATATAAGTAAATAAAAAATAAAATCAAGATGGCAAGATTTAATTCTGTTATTGAAATTATTTTCGAACTCGATGGTTGATCACGGATCGAATCTACTTATTATAAACAAAATGAAAAGTAATGATTTATAAGTTTTTTATATTTTTCTTGAACTTAAACAGTTTCGTCATTATTTTTGAAAATATAATCTAGGTATTAAGACTTTACAATAACAATAATAATTTGTAATGATTTATACATTTTGATCAAAATCCTAAAGGTCATTTGGTGCATATTCAAGATAATATGATCTTATAATTGTAAAATTTAGTAAAAACTCTAAATTTCTGAGTAAAACTCATATCGGCTAAATTAGACGATTTTGTAAAACTTTTTTGCAAGTGTCTTAAAATTCTTAGTTAATATCCAAACTGTTATGTTGTAAAGTAATACTTAAATTGAACTCCAATTCAAAAATTTAATTTCAAAATTTTAACAACTAAATGCTTTCTTATTTTAATCCTACTCATTTCACTTATAATTTTTTTCTAGTATTTAATAAATAGGTAAGTTGTATTTAAATTTAATTACTTACCCCATTTAAAACAGGACTCTATTTTTCAGGAAAATTTTTATTTGATTTGTTTCCCTTTTATTTTTATTTTTATAATCAAAATATTTAATATTATACAATTTCTTATCCAATTCAAATTTACAATTAATTAATTAAATTAAAATAATTCATTTAATATTTTATTTAATATTTAAAAATAAAATTATTTTTTCTTTAAATTTTTAATTACAACTTAGGTGTTCATCTATTTAAAAAAAAAAAAATAGATAGAAGATAAAGAATTAATTAAACAATTAAAATTTTTTTTACTTATTGTAATTTGTATAAGCACTTTGTAAAATTTTTAGTACCAATAAACTTTTTAAGTGCGATCACTTTTGAATGAAAATTTTGGATTACTTCATTATAACCTCACTTTAAGTATATATTATTTTTGATTATTTCACTGATTTCAATAAAATATTTTACAATTTAATATCAAAATATTTAAAACATAAAGATTTTTTTAAAATTAAATTTGAATTTTGAATGAAAGAGTTTTAATTTTTATAATTTTATTTGGTTGAAGAAGTAATTGATTGGGTAATGTGTGGGTAATATGCGTTAAAAACACTTGACACTTAATTATTTAAATTATATATATATATGTATTAATGTGGTTATATATAAAATATTATTAATTTTATTAATAATATTTTGTAAACTTTTATTTATACATCACCTAATTTATTTCTTTTTGAATATTATAGTAGACAGTGTACACACTAATTTTTATTTCTTACAAATTACAATTATTTAATTTATTTGATATTAGAAGAATTCTTTTAAAAATTATTATTTTATTAATTTATAATTATTCAATTACTTAAATTGAAATATAAAAATTTTTTTATTAAAAATTATAAATATTTTAACAAAAAAAAAAAAATAAAAACAAAAAAATTATTAAAATAAATTTACAAATTTGCTTTTTATTTTATTGCAATCATAATTTTTTGATAATTTGAAATTAAAAATTATTATTTTTTGCAATTTTATTAATTTCAATTTTCAATTCTTGTATATTTTCTACAATATTACATATTTTTTTTATATTGGTATATATGAAACATGTATGTATGTATGAGATTATTTTATATGTACAGAAAATTATTACATACAATATTTTTTTTTAAAAAATATTTATTCACTTACTTACTTAAGTAATATTTTTATTTTCATTAATGAATTTTAAATTTTTACATACATACATAAAAATTTATTACAAATTTTAATTCAAATTTAATTTTATTTTTTCACTTTTTCTTATTTTTTTTTTTTTTATTGAAATTTTCACTTTCGTAATCGAGTAACCAACAACCGACGACCAACCAACATTTTTTTTTCTTTTTTTTTTTTTTTGTTCTCTACACCAATTTGGATTTTTTTCTTCTTCTTTTTATTTCTTTTTTATGATTTTATAAATTTTTCACCACTGACATATCATTATAATTTTCGTCATTAATATGTAAAAAAAAAAAAAATAGAAAGAAAATAAAAAATAATAATAAAAAATATTGTGGAAGAAAATATTTAGTATTGTAATTACTTGCATGTAAGGAGAAAAATATGAAATAAAAACAACAATAATTGAGAAACATTTAAGTTCAATGCCATTTAATAGTAAAATAATATGAAAAAGAGAATATAATAACAAAATGTAAAATAGGTATAAAAGGTATGTAGGTAGGTAGATTGGATTATTGGATAAGATGGTGTAGATTTTTAACCTATAATAATTTTTAAAGTGTTTATTTTAATTAATAAACAATAATATGTGAACATATCTACATATACCAATGTATACTTATTCTACATAATTACAATAATAAATAATTGCAATATTTTGGTAGACAATAATGGTAATTTAATATTAATTATTAAAATAGTAGGTATTTGAAGGAAATTTTATGATTTATATTTTTGAAAAATGGATGAAAGTGAAAATTTTAAATAATTTTTATATTTTTAATTTTGGATTGAAAGTTGTAATCCCTGTGGGTAAGCATTTTTAAGTGGGTATTTTGAGTACCTACCTACTTAGAATATGGAATTAAAATTTTGGTCGAATTTTGGATTTTGGTAGGTACCTACATATCTTTAAAAAAAAATGTTTATTTCTATATTTTTAAGCTTGTTCGGACCTTTGCTTTTGATTTTGTGGAAATTCCCAAAAACATATTTAACATTGCTTTCTGCTGTTTTTTTTTTTCTCTTTTTTGAACAAAAACACTCTACTCTGTACTGTATGCTACTTCTTTTTGCTTCTTTTCATCCAAAAAAAAAAAACAAACAAACAAACAGAAAGGAAAAAAAATATATGGAAAAAAATTTATAAAGGAAAAAAAAAAATTTCTTAAAACCAAACAATCAACCATACATTTATAACAAGGTTGTTGTCGTCGTCGACGTCGTTTTTGTCGTCCACATAGTATATTTCACTTCACTCTCAACTCAACTCACTTTTTTGTTATTCTGATTTTTTTTTCTTTTTTTTTTTTGTGTAACTAAAAATTTTTCTGTATGAAACTTGGATGGAGCCCCCAAAAATCAATTTTCTTTACAAAAAAAAAAAACCAAAAAAAAAAGGCAATGAAAAAATGAAAAATATCATTTATAGAGTATATATATATATATAAATATATATATATATATATATATATATATATATATATATATGAACAATGTATATATATATATATATATATATATATATATATATATATATATATATATTGTATTTTTTATATATTTTGTTATACGCCTATATATATATGTATAAAACTTTACTTTTTTTTTCTTCTTTTTTTTTTCAACAGAGAAGAGACATTCGAACGCACACAGCACAAAAAAAAAGAAAAAAAAATTTTTTTCTTTTTTAAATTCTTTTTTCTTATTGAATTTCAATATATTTTTGAAAAATTTTTATTTTATTTTATTCATTATTATTTATTTTATAAATTTTCACTATTTTTATGAATTTTAATTCAATTTAATTATATTTAAAAAAAAATAATAAATTTCTTGTTGGAAAAGAATTTATTTTTTCATGTTAAATACACTCACGATTCACGAAAATGTCGGGTTTTTTCGAAAATCTATATAAAATGCAGATGCTAAAAAGAGATAAATATATATGTATTTCTTTTTTGGTTCAATTACGAATTTAAAAAATGACATTTCCTTTTCATTTTTGTTATACTATATTTTGATATAGTTTATATTAAGGTTACATTTTCGAAAAATGGTTATTACCAAAAAGAAAACAAGAGTTTTATTTTGTAATACGCACATATTTTATTTTATTTAATATATTATGTATACTCAATTTCGTGAAAAGGGTAAATAAATAAAAGAAAACAAACCTTTGATTTACTTCATATATCAGAAGAACTTGCAATTATGTTAATTTCTCATATTTCATTGTTCAATTATCAGGTAACGACTCAAGCTTAAATGCGAACCTATAGAAGAAAGTAATGTAAAATTTTGTTATGTAGATGCTGGCATCGGTCTGTTGGACAACTTTGTTGTTCCTTGTTTTTGTTAGTCAAAAACAAAAATTTCCACAATTTTAAATTAATGTTAATAGTATTTTAGAGTTAAAAAACACAACATTAGATAATCGAAATCTTGAATATGTCAACACTATACTAATATATACAAATGGGTACTGTTCATGTTTAATTATCAATTTAATATTGCATTAATTTTTGGAAAATGCGTTTTACTAATAATTATGGTATGACATAACAGTCTGTACCATTTCGATAATCCCTTTTTTCTTTTCTATAATTTATTCATTTTGACATTTCGAAAAATATGCATATTATAAAAATTTATTATATTGTTTATTCTTTTACTCCTAGTAAAGAACAACTTTAATAAAAAAAAATGCAGCAGGAAAAAGTAGACTCTAAGATGCAATATTAAAATCGAAAAAAAAAAGAATTATTTAAGGCTAAAAAAAAATTGGCACTCCCTGAATTAAAATTATGATATTTTTATTTTCTATTTAATAAATTAATAAAAAAAAATTTCATAATTTATTATTAAAATATTAAAAATTATTTTAGAAATCATTTGAGAATGTCAAAAATTAGAGAAATCAGAAAAACAAAAAATTTCAACAAAAAAAGTATAATCGTAATTTTGTGTTTTGATAATAATTAATATTTTCGAAAATAAATAATTTATTACAGATACACATGTGGTTCACACATTAAACATATAAATAAAACAAACAAACAATAAATATACAACTACATACACAAAATTTTTTAATGAGCGTTTTTTATACATACGTTTTTTATGTATATATAAATATGATATTGAATATTTATAAGAAACACACATTTATACATTCATATTTCTTTCTATATCAATCAATTTCATATCAAAAAAATCAAAATTGAATATTTTCACTTTTTGTTTATTATTTTTCAAATTATTTATTTAAATTGACACATTGTATAGTGTTGCCATATAATAAGATTTGTTAAAGGTTATTAAACTTTAGTAAAATCATTTTGCTAATGTAGTATGCACATATATACAAAGAATTTAACATTTGATTTAATATATCTAAATTAAATTATAATGAAAAATATGTACGAAAGAAGAATCAGGAGAGTAAAAATTTGTAGTAATTCAATTCTATTTTGTTGTAATACAATTACATACTATTGTATAAGACTTTTTTTAAAATTGAAACTTTTAATTTAATTCGAAATCCGAAGGTTTTCGGAAATTTCTTAAACTGCTTTTCCTCTAAGAATTTTTCCAAATTTAAGAGAAATCTTATTTGAAAAAGAAACACTTTTCTGTCAACGAAGGTTAAATTCTAAGAACATGAGAAAAAATGCATTTAAATAATTAAATAATATAAATTTTTAAAAAGAGAAATAATAAATTTTTGCAAGGAGATTGTGAAGGGTAGAATTTTGATAAATCCAAATGGTGAATGTAAGGTGAAACAATTGTGTGTTTTAATTTTTTTTGTAGTTTAGTAGAAAAATTATTAAAAATCATATACATATGTGCAAAGTTAGATTGAAGTTGAATGGCGATGTAATGTAAATTATTAAATTGAAATTAACTGAAGTTATACCTATTTTAAAATTTAATGGGATCTAAATTGTAAATTTTAGAACAACTTGAATTTATTTTCTTAATAGAATATTTAATTTCATATTGCGAATCTTCATATTGTGAATCGGAATTATGTCAATTTAATGAAAATGTTACTTACTATTTTCACTTATTACTTTTTGATATATTTCAGATTGTGAATTTAAAATATGTAAGATGACATTTTATAGATCAATATGACATTATTTATATCAATAAGGTTGTTTCGATGTCGTCTACTGTTTCAAAATAAATTTAGATTTGAAAATGAAACAAATATAAAATAAAGTTTAGGAAATTGGCCGATAGATGACAATTGAGTACTTCTGTTCAAAGTGGAACCATGAAATAATTTTAGATTTGAATAAAATAATGGGGGAATATGTGATATGGATAGCTATTTAAAAAAAAATTTCGTTATTATATTAGTGACAGAGTATGTATATAAGTATATGAATATGACAAACTAATTTTTATAAAATAAATAAAGTTGAACTATTATGAATTAAAGAAAATTATAGAAAATTTTAGATGTCTTATTTCCAGCGTTAAGTACTGAAGTGAGGTTGTCAAATGAGAACTTATATACATGATACAAAAATTTTAGACTTGTTTTTTCGTTGAATTCGTTTTATTAAATTTCAACTTATTATCAAAATATTATTACGATTGTTAACTATTTTTTCTGATAACATTAAAGCAATGTATTCCAAATTCATTCAATTTTTATATTATTTCACATTTATTCAATGCAACGAATAAATTTATTCTATTTCTAAATTTATTTTATTGTATAAAAACCCTTATAAAGAAACAAAAATTTAAAATTTTTTCTATTTTATTGTAAAAATTTTTGATTATCTTAAAAAAACAAATTTTTTAATTTCAAAATGAAAACAATAATTATTTAATTCTATTTTGGTTTTTTAGCTCTGGAAATTCTTATTTAATTTTTACACTTAATGAATTTCTATTTCTAAAATAAATAAGTTAAATAAATTATAAATAAATTAAATAAAGTACAAAATTATTTTCAATAAATAAATAAATTAACGTTTTTCTTTCTTTTTATGTAATTTTTAAACCCTTATTTTTCAATATTAAATTTTTTTCGTATAAAAAAAATTATTTATGAATTCTATGATTTTTTTTCGTGTGACTTAAACTAGTAATTTTTAATACAACATACTATTTAATACGGCAAAAAATACATCTGTAATACTTTCATATTCATCTTCATTATTTTTTTTCTTTTTACCACTTTTCGTTTTTGTTTTTTTAGATGTTGTCTTTTTAATATTATTATCGATTTGTTTTATTTCATGTCCATTCGAATTTATTGGTATATCTTTAAATTGTGCTATTGATGATGCACCGTCATCATAATCATTTGTATTTGGTACAATTGTTATTTTAGATTTGTTATTATTTTTTGTTTTCTTTTGTTCATCTGATCCAAAAACGTCACTTATAAATCTAAAATCATAATCAGTATCGCCGGTATCATCATCATCCTAAAAAATAAAATTTGGATTAAAAACGTTGGAAAGTTAATAAAGCAATGAGACAAAGATTCTTAAAAGGAAGAATTAAGAAATTACATCATCGTCTTCAGTATCGGTATCTTCATCTTCATAATCATCTCCTGAATCTTCATCTTCTTCATCGCCACCTAAAATAATGGAAATCGATTAGTAATTTAGTATAATAATCTTTGGTTTGTTTTATTTTTTAATTTATAATTTTGTAAATGCATCGACAATTCGGATTTAGTTTGTGAATATTTTGTATAGATAGTCTTCTCGTTGATGTTGTTATTTGTATTAATTTTGATCCTCAAGGTGACAAAATAAGAAATTTTATTAAATGGTCCATTATATTTGCAGTCATTTATTCATATAAGGAGGAGAATACAGAAGTGCAGCATCCTAATAATTTTATAATTGCAAAATTTAAAATGGCTCAATTTTTATTTAAGCAAATTATTATCAACTTATTTGCAATTTAAATAATTTTATGAATTTATAGTCGTCATTTTAAATATCTTTAATTTTTTTTCATTTATGAAACGGTTGCAATTTTTTTTAGTCATTATGTCACTTATATATTTACATACGTATGCAGATTATTTTAAAATCAATTCACAATAATTGCATAAATTTCCTCATACAATTTATTTTTGTATAATTCGATTAATGAATATAAATCGACTTTTTTAGTGTGCATGCTTGTGTGATGTATCTGTGTTTAAGTAAATAAAAAAAAACGTAGTAAATGATATAATCGAATTTTAATTTTGAATAATTGTCGTAAGTTGGAAAATTTTATTGTGACAAAGTAAAACTTAATAATTCATAAAATATTCATGCACCCAAAAAGAGTGCAAAAAAATAACATCCCCGTCATTCATAACACACGCAGTCAGGTGTGCTTTCAATCCGTTTGTTGCATAAATGATTTTTTTTTATAATTTTTGACTGTTTTTATTAAAATTTACTAAAAGGTTACTTTTCATAAAATCGAAATAATTGTTTTTTTTTTTTTAACTTTTGACATTATGTATGTAAGCGTTTTATGTGCATTATTTGCCATACGTATGTGCATATAACAAGGCGCACATATAAATATTTTTGTTGGTATTTTATTTATAGTCATTAATTACGTATATGAGTATTTAAAATACTATTTGAATCAATTTAAATTCAATCCACATAAATATATACGCATATATTATGCATTTATGTAAGTTTAAAATGACATATCGTTTTCAAAATTTATAATTTTTTTTTGACATAAACTGAAATGAAAAGTGTGACCTTTGTTATTTCCGTAAGTTTATTTTCCCGACTACAAACTGTTAAAATATTTGTGCGAAAATCCAATTAACACACTTTTTTTTCCAAAATTTTACTCTCAAAAATTGAAAAACTGAGCGTATGAATTTTAACGCTAAACTGTAATACTGTAATATTAAAATCTTTTTTTGTTATAAATTATATTTCTTATAAAAAATTTAAGAACTATGGCTGGGATTCGTAATCGGTAACCAGTTAAATTAGAGATTGTATTTTTAAATTGCAGCTTGGGTGATAAAAAATGAATATAGTATAATTTTGTATTAATAGCAGCTTTGTATAACAGATTTGATAGATGTGCTTTAACTTCATTGCAAACGGAATGAATTTCTGTATTCGTTAGGGTACGTGTCTTATCTTTTTTTAATCTGCAAATTAGTGAAAATTATATGCTTTTATTTTGTAATAACATTTTTATTTTTTTCATATAAAAAAATAGAGTAGAAAATTCACAGTGCAATATAAATTATTACTTATTAATAACTGTGAATTTTTTTTGCTTGTTATTCTCAGGTTGTAAAAAAATCGTTGTCGCCATTTTAATCGCTATTATCATTATTTTCTTATATGCATATCCAACCATACATAGGAAGGCATGGTGTTGTGCACCAAAAACAAAAACAAAAATCATTTTTGTAATGGACTTTTAAATTCAATTGCGTTATAGGAATTTGGGCGGTTTCCAAAAAAAATTTTATACCAATTTTTTGTTATTAAAAAAAATATAATTAAACTTTTACTTTACACGTGCTATGCATTAAATTATTAAATAAAAAGGGTATATTAAAAGCAATTCATTTACTAATTTTGTAATGAAATTAATGTAATGTAAACTAATATAAATTTTTTTCAGAAAACACCTACTGCCCAACTCTGTAATTAATAATGACATTGCATTGCATTGAAAAATATAAGAATTTTTTGGATCTGCCTCTGATCTGGTAATCAATAAAATTTGCCTTATTAGAAATTATTTTAAAGCCAAAATTTTGTACTAAAATAAAAGAAAAAAAATGTTTGCGGTACTAAATTTAACCACAACATTTGATAACATTTTATTTGGATGTTTAACTTCAAAAAAACATACTGCGTAATTTGAATGATGCAAAATCATGACATGTTTTTGGAAAATTGTAATGTGTGTACATATGCATTTAATTAATATTGTTCTGCATTTGTTTTGCAAAAGATGCGCTTAAATGCATTAACATTTAATTTTTAATTCAAATATTTAATTTTTAGGAAAAACAATGTTTTAATATTGTGAATTGAGTAGAAGGGCATCTTAATTTTGATTTTGGAAACAATGTTAGACAAACAGTCTTGAGTTAAGTATGTGAGTTTAATTTATAATTTTATTACTCTATTTCCAGCTCACAAAATAGCACATACTGCAACCGTAACGCATTCAAACTTTTACATTTTCATTGTTATACCAGGTGTTAATTTATTGCATGTTATTGTTTACATAATTATTAAAATTAAAATAATTTATTAAAATAACATTTTATCATAAAAGGAAAATGAACATACACACTTATAGTTTTTTATACCAAATTTCTTGTTTTGTTTTTTAAAGTGAAATTATAACAAAAAAAAATTAACATGATTTAAACAATATGACAAACTTCGTACATACTTGATTTCAAAACCCTAACGTTAAAATGCAGAACAAAACAAATTTTTATTGGATGACATGTTGTTCAACATTTTTGTTAGTGACCAGCCGAATATGTTAATGAATATGACACGCGATTTTTTTGTCTTTCTTTCTTTTTATTTTAAATGGAGCTTGTATTCTAAAACTGTAAGTTAAGTTTTTATATTGTTTTTGGGCAACAAAAATTTGGTACAAGTTATGTACAACTATACGCTTGGTTGATATTTTTGGTCAAATCAAAAAAATAATAATAAAAGAAAAATTAGAAAAAAGAAACTGAAAAACATACAAAATCAAAATTAATGGCAAGTTTGAATTTTTTGGTGAAAGTTTTACTTTTTTTTTGTCCACTCAATTAAATGGATTTTTATTTGAACGTATCTAATTCTTTTCAAAAAGCAGATTATAATTTTTTATTTCTAGCATTCAAATGAGGTAGGTATGTATGTGCATATATATTGTATGCTATAGAATGGAATTTAATCGAAAATCGAAGTATTGCCAATATAGATTGATAAAATTTTAATCTTAAGTTAAAAGTTTGTTTTGTTATAAACATTGACATTTGAAAAAATAAAATGAAAGTAATTGTGTGCATTTCAATTAACTAGGATTTAAGTTTATTTGATTGGTACTTGAATGAATTATTTGATTCTAGTAGTAGTAATAAGAGGGGGTCAATAAGAATCAACTTTCTTGGAAGAAAGAACCGCGCCAAAGACTCCGTCGACAGGCCCTCTATGCCATCGTAAAAGAAGGACTCCAATATGCGCTTTCGCTTCAATATCGAGATACGGATAGATACAAAGAACATATTCCACGCGATATCCTGACATCCCTGACAGACATTCGTTATAATGACTTCAACTTCTTGGTCATTTTTCTTTAACGGCAGTCTCTCCCCTACCCGAACCAGTGTGCTGAGATCCATCGTCTTCTTCACATTTCTACAAGGCAATGGCGCTTTGGCTACCCTGTACGAGCGAGCTCTCTCCAACAAGACCTCGCCCCTCCTTTATAAAATACTAAAAATCATTTAAAAATTTTAATAATTTTATACTTACCACCGAGTCCAAAAATATCATCATCATCTTCATCATCTTTTTCATTTTCAATTTGTGGTACTGGTTCAGCTTCAGTAACAGTTAAACCTTTATTATTAAAACGAAAACATGATACACGTAATTGTGCTTCTAATTCATCTTCAGCTCTTAATTCTAAACTTAAACATGATTTAAAACCAGATTTTTCTTTAGCTAAACCATATATTCTAGCACAAAACTTTGTAAATCCACCCGGTAAACCAACACAAACTGGTGGTGCTTTTTTACCTATTTATATTATAAATAAAAGATAAATTAATTGAAATGAAATTTAATAACTTATTAAAATTATATTTTGTTAGAAAATTTACTTGTATATTGGGGGCTAATCAAATACTATATTCCAAAGAACTAAATTAAATTGAATTTATATTAAAAATTTTACTTTCAATTTAATTAATGTTTTATCAACTTATAGACAAAGAGAAATGTTACAAAATTATGATTATTGTGAATTTAAAACAAGCATAACATTCTTAATTTATATAGTAATCGAATACATTCACTTAAAAATTTAAACATTAAGTTGGTCTGCATGAAAGGGAAAATATTTGTTTAAAAAATTTTTAAGTATCTTTTAAAAATAATTACCGGAATACAAATGGAGTGTTAAGAACCAAACTATTTCATTTGATTTGAAATTAAATACCAATTTGTAAATTATTTTTACAAATTTTTAAGATATTATTTAGTGTTACTTGCCGTCTATTTCAATTAATTATTAAAAATTTTCAAAGTCATGTAACAATGATTGTTATTTTATTAAAAGAAAAACAGAAAAACGCTTTTGAGGTCGCTTGTAACAAAAAAAAAAACAGTGTACTTTAGTTTCCGTCCTTTTGAACAAAAACAAAAAAATCTACTTCCCTTTTTTGTGTTTTTAATAAAACTACATAATTTGATTGGAATTTCGGAGTAAATGACAACTTCACATAAAAATATTTCTATAAAGATTAAAATTTTGTGAAAGTAAAAATTAACAATAATTTTATATTTTTAACAACACGTTTATTTCGAAATGAAAATTAATTTTCAACTTTCATTCAAAAAATTATGTTAAAAAAAATCACAATTTGCAAAATATCATCATAAAAATGAACAGGCATAAAATAACAATGAAAAATACGTAAACAGTAAATTCTAAGTATTTTTGACAGAAACGAAATTTTCCGAGTGAATATGATAACTACCAAAGTTTATCTTGATTTGAAATTTAATTGTTTTTAAATTCTTAAGTTTTTCGTACATTTTTTTTCTTAACAATAATAAAATTAGGGTAGTTATTTAGATTTGTGAGTAGTGTTTAAATTTACGAATAAAAACGAATTAACCCGAAAGTTAATTATTGAAATAAACTATACGAAAATCCAAAAAAATATCCACTTAAAGTATATGAATGTTTATGTAAGTATGTATTGAATAATGAAAATCATGTAACTGGAAAGATATTGTGGATAATTGTCAAATGATTGAAAAATGGAGAGCAAATATATACCATTTTATAATGATTAAATTTTATAATACATTTTTTTTGTGTTACTGCAATAAAAAGCAAGAATTTCTGATATTTCTTTGATGTTCTATAAAAATGGAATGTTCGATTTTTCAAGTTTCACTGTAACTCTTTTACTGTACTCGTATTTATGTAATCCATATATGTAATAATGAAGATAATTGTATTTCATTTATGTTGTTTCGAAATTGATTAACAATTACTTTGTATACTTTTCGGATTATAACTATAATTCTAATCAATTTCAACAAATTTTATCACAACTAAATATTTCGTCAACTCAACTATAATTATAAAATTGCGTATATGAATGTTAATCTATATTTTATCTTAATCTTATTTATTTCAACTGAATTGCAATTACTTTCATAATTTAACAATTAAACAATTGTCATCGTGTATTTTCTCTTATTTACTTGAACTACTTTAATACTCTTGCATTATTTTCAGTATTTGGCACACGATGATTTCCTAGTAAAAGAGAAATTCTCTATTGTGAATTAACTCAATTACATATATACATTATTTTACATTAATGTGAGCAAATTAATTATTGATTTAATCAAACTAAAAAAAAACTTTAATTTATAATAATTTTATAAATCTTGCTTATATAAAACACTGAATACTTCCATATTTATTGAAATCGCCCCCAATAAATTGTAAAATACAAGAAAATGAAAAAATTATGTGAAAATATAAAATGCTACTAACCATTTATGGTCCTTTGTGCTAATACAATATCACCATATTTAATTTGTACTGACATTCTTTCATTACCTAAATAATGTATTTTTGCACAACCAGGTCCTCTAACCGGTACCAATGGTAATGAAAAATCACGACAACAATTACATAATGTATCCGTACATTTACAAAATTTACTTATTGGATTTGGATCATCAACATTTGTTGGTTGTGATGGTTTTGATGGCGACGACGCTGATGATGATGATGACGATGATGACGAGGATGATGATGATGATGATGTTAATCCTTCAACAGGATCTAATACAGTATTATTAACATTTACTTCATTAAATGGTCTTAAAGTTGTTAAATCTAAACCATCAGCAATATTTTGTACAACACTATTACTATCAACGCTTGGTGCTTGTTGTTGTCCATTTGATGTACTAACTAATTCTGTTACACCAACAGTTGGTGTTAAACTTGGTGCAACTGTATTTTGATGGTGTGCGGATAAATTTGGACTAACATTTGGATCTATTTCATTTGCTGGTAGATTTGCTTGTTTTCTAAGTGGTGGACCACGTCTTCGTGTTGATACTGCCGAGTCAACATATTCAGCACTTAAGTAAAAAAATAAGAGTATAACGGTAAATTTTTTAAATTTTTTTAACATTTTTTTCAATGTTTTTTCTTTTTACTATTTTAGTAATTTTTTTTTTGTTTTATATTCGAATTCTAAAATAAATAGTAAGCGCTCGTAACCGGATATTTTACAAAAAAAAAAGGTTATTTTAATGGATTGCAAAGCGTATTTTAAAGTGTTGTTCAACTTTCAAGAATCCAAACTGAACTGTTTACTTAAAACATTGATGACTTTAACGCTTGTTAAAAAAAACCAAAACAGCATTAAAAAAAAGCGTTTACATTTCTTTTTACTATCATTTTTGTTGAGTTGATTTTCATTTGGTTGATTTTTCTTTTGCTACTTTATGAATTTAACGTTAAGCCGATTGTGTCAGATCTGTTTGAATGGTATAAAAAAAATGAAATATCATTGAGAATACCGTTATTATAAGAAATAAGTATGAGAGAATTATTGTAAGAGTATTACGCAAGAAAAGCAAGAAATATATTGAGAAGCTGTTCCTTCCACCTCGTTCAAGGAATTTCTTTTAAAAACTGCTGGGGATGGATCGAAAATGTGTTCATGCTACTAATGTCTTCTTACTGAGCATTGTTCACTAAAATATCACTTGCACAAACTGGAAAAATCGGACTCCGTTTTGTGTAGACTCGGTAAGGACGCTTATTGTATTCTAACAAGGGGCTCTCATAACTCAAGTATTTCTGCAAAAATTCTATTATTTTTATGCAAAAAATCCTATAGTTGGGCATTTTAATCTTATTGTTCTAAAGTTTTTTTTTCTTTATTGACCTCTTGTACTTTAAAGACAGACAAGATTTCAATTTTTATTTAAAGAGTATATGGTATGGTTTTTATAATTTTATTTAAAATTTTTTTATCTGCTAAAAATGTAAAGAGAAAGGGAAAATAAATAACAATGAAAAGTGGAAGAGAAAAAATTACAATAAAATATAACAATAACAAAAAGAATTTAAAAAGTTCGATAATCGAATTCATTCATTCATTTCGACTTTTTTCATATTTCGAAATGAGTACAATTTATTACAAATCAAGGTTGGGAAATTATAATTGTTACATATTTGTACAAAGAATTTTAAAATAGAATACAAGTCCATGTAAATATAAATAAGTATGTGTAATGGTATTTTTGCAGAATTTTTTTTTTATTACTAGGTTCGTATATATTGTTAATTATTAGTTTTAAGTCACCTTTGCTACGCACCCTTTGTAAATGATATCGTTTTTGTGTCAAATAATCTTGAAAGTGTTAATAATGCGAAATATTTTATACTCTTTGATGTTAAAAGTGTCAATTACTTTACTGTTACGATTATAATTGAAATTTCAATTATGGCCGTAGTTAATCGGAAAAAAGGCGGTTGTTAATTCGTTTTAGGTCATTAAATTAACAATGTTATTAAAAAAAATTTTGTGTAAGTATAAGAACGTCAAAAATATCGAAAGACCTCTTAATAAGGAAAAGATTTGAACGTTATAAAAAGAAAGCAAATAAACGAAAATTTTGTTTTCATCTCATTTTTTTTAGTTTCGCTCTCTCTAATCAAAAATATACTTTATTGCGTCAAGTCAATATTTTTATCTTATCAACATATTCTCACGTATTTAAATTACTCTCACAAAGAACACCTCGATCGGTACGTTATAAGCATACAACACTGGCAAATGCGTATACGAGTGTTCTTTAATGTAATGATGGCAGACTGTTTTTCTTTTTCAAATTCTTTTTAATAATATAAAAGGAAAGAATAAATCCATAATAATTTATTAAGTGCACCTGACTTTTGACTTGAAATTCTTTTATAATAACAATAAACATTTCTCTTACATGTACACATGTATGTATGTATATTATTAAATAGAAAATGACTTTTGCGATAATTACGTGTGGTACAATAATATGTCAATTCGTTTGAAATGTCATATTAAAATGAAAATTCAAATATTGATGTATGAATTAAGCTAAAATTTTAGTTAAATATGTCAACGTTATTTGAATGTTTTTGTTTGAAAATTATTCAAAATGTCAAATAATTTTGAAAATGTTATAAAAACTGTTACAGTTAGTATGAGTATTATGGCACTGACAGGGAAGCCAAATCAATTATGTACTTTTTTCAGGTTGACATTATCAAACTTTGCCATCATGCAACAGAGGTCGAAATATACAGAGAGTTTTAAAAATTTTGAATTCCTACGACTCTCATTAATAATATCTTAAGGTTATACAGTGAAGGTAATTTTGTTATTCTTGATTTTCATTATTAGTATTCTGATTTCATTTATGGTACCTAGCCTATTTAAACTTATTTCTATATTCAGTTGAACAAAGTAACAAAATGTATAACAAAAATTAACTTCAGCCTCAGCATCATTTATTTAATAATATATTTGCCTCTCATTCGCCTAATTTTATTTTTCTCTTCCTCTCATTTAATAACCATAAAGCCGATTGTCATACGACACTACGAGAGTAAACTTTATAATCAATTTAATAATAGTAGATTTAATGGAACTCTTGAGTCTTGATTATGTATGTATATACAAAGCAGGAGAAAATAAAAGAGGAAAAAAATATAATACGCAATATGTGTAAGTAACAGGCATTTGAATCAAATTGACAATATTATACGATTGGAATATATAATTAAGTTTACTGACAGTAGCGGAGTATAATTTTAATAATAAAGGTATTAACTTTTTGCATTTGAATATTAATTGTGTCGAACTTGGATCTTCTTATTAAAAAGCTGATGTTGTTTTTGTGTTATGGAGGTTATTTTATTCTATTTTCGTATAAAGTGGCAGAACAAGTTTTGAAATCAAATATTTTTGTGTAATTTAATGTTTGACACTGAGTTACAGAAAAAAAGGTAGGAACGCTGTTTTTATAACAACTTTAAATACAAAAAGCTGCTCTTGTTAATGCTCAAACTTTGTATAAGAAAGCAATTTGATTATTAACCATTTTTATTATTGAATACCGATTTATATTGTGCATATCAATATCGATTTATTAGGCTAAGATCGATTCACAGCCAAAAAAATATTTTCGATTTAATATGTAGCAAGCATTGCCACCCTATGCATTTTTTGCGCTTTCAAGTTTAAAGTGTAATACCGTATCGTTGTCTAATTTCAAATAATTTGTACCGTCAATGATTGCGATCAATAAATACTCTTAAAGAGAGAGAAAAATCTAAGAAGTTAAGACACAACCACAAAGCTTTCTTTTAATGCATAAAATAAAAAAAAGACGAAAAAATCATAAAAAAAATTAAATAGCAACGCGATGCTAATTTTGTATAACAATCAAAGCAGCTACTTTAGGCATTTTTCTTTACTTTTTTTCTTACCTGTAACAAAATAAAAGTCACTTAATACCTGTGTTACTTGAGTTTTCTTCTCCTTTATTATTAATTTTTCTTTGTTTTATTGATTATTTTTTTTCTTGCTTTTATTATGTCTCTTTTTCTTTTCTGTTTCATATTTTATTTATTCTCTTTTTTTTATTTTGTCTTTTAGAATGAAAGCACAAATAGAAAAGGTGAAGTGTAAATTGTTAAATTGATCATGACAATGATGATGATGGTGTTAAATAAAATACTAGTACCTATGTGTGTGTACATATAAACTATAGAAGTAAATGAAAGAAACGAGAAATTGGAATAACGAAAGGAAATTGGAAAGAAACTAATTATGGGAAGCTTTACTTTAAATGGTAACACTTTAGTAGTTAATTTTCTATTTTTCGTTATCTGCATTTAAGCTCTATATATGAAATATAAATTGAAGATAATTAGTGTTAATGAAAATCGTATTCTAGATAATTATGAAATTGACTTAAGCTTAATATTTTAAAGAGCATAAGTAGTAAAAATTAGAAGAATGAATAAAATAGGAAATATAAAAGTGAATTTAAATAAGTAGCACAATATACATAATAAATTTCTATTGAAATTTTTGAAAATTATATAAATGGTGTGGAATAATTCTAAAAGAAATATTAAAGGTGAAGAGTTTAACAATTTGTGTTAAACAAATTTTAACAAATAGTTTGTATGAGTATATTGAAAGTAATTTAATATTTTTGAATTTAATAAAAATTATAAATGTTTGTGAGTAAGTGGAGTGAATTTAATACATGTGTAAGCAGACAAACATAATTGGATGTATGACTTTTAAAAATGGAATACATTTTATTGGAATATGTGTACATAATAGAAAGTCTTGGAATATAGAAATTTCCTTGAATTGAAGTAATTGTAATATTTGTTGCATTTCAAATAGTAAGAGGATGGAATTATAATAATTACATACAACATGCATCATCTGTACATAGTTCAATAAATCACCATTCTTGTTTGCTGTCGACATTAGTGTTTTTTATCCGGCAAAAAGTATTGATGTTGTCAAATCTAATATGGAACATAATTTACTCATGATGATTTTCTTTCTGTTTGTGTTACTTGACAGTTGCTTGAGTTGAAATGCTCATATTGTAATGTCAAATACTAAAATTAACACTTTTAATGGTATTATGTATAAATACAGAAAATTTTCACACTTGATTAAAATTAAAATGTGCTGTGAGTTGATTCATTCTGTTTTGTCTTATGGTAGAGCGATGTGAGCCGGTGGTGGTACAAGAGATTATGGACTACAAATTTTCCAAAACAAACTTCTATATAAGTTGACTTATATTATTTCAATCTAATTTTAATCCTCTAACTGGTATACATGTATCATTTTCAGCAGCTTTTGTTTGTATTTATAGTGCTTAAGGGGTTCGGTCATTCCAATATCTCTCCTATCCATTGTAATTCTCATAATTTTTACACTAGATTTAGAAACAATGCTCATATTCATAGAGTTTGAAATATTCTGGTTTTTCAACAAGTTTCGTTCGCTGGTTCAAGGTTGTTTGATAGCTGGTCGGGGAAACTGAAGTCTATTCAGATTTTAATTCTTTAAACTCA